CTAGGAGCCTGCGTCGTTCACGTTCATGTTTGCTTACTGTCCGTCTTCTTCCTGGTCTTTATCTGATACATTACTGCATTTATTTGAGCAGTGCAATGGTAGAAAACCATTAGCATGAATGAATTGGCCCAACATTGACCAAACTGTGACTCAATTACAGACACAGTGTCAAATTCTGTTTAAGTGGTCAAAAAAGTCCAGAGGGTACGTTCAAAGTGGGAGACTAATATAAAGCTTATAACCACAAGCAACAAACCACATCACCACATAAACAACAAGGACGTTTTCTTGAATGAGTGGCGGAGAACTGAATAACTTTTTTCTTTTTTTTGGTGCCGTTTGTCGGAGAGTAAACAGCACATCGGCTACAGATACACATCAAGTGAATTTGCCCTTAAAAATGTCTCCAACCAACATACCATGTCTGTCCAAACAACGTCTTCACTTTTCAGGACGAGCATCCAGCTCCCTCCTGTCCCTGTTTGTATGTCAGATGCCTTTCATACAAACATCCTTCCTTCAGCATCCGTACTGATGATAATGATGATGTGGTCTCCAGGTAGAGGAGGAGGAGGAGGAGGAGGAGGTTGGTTACTGCCATGTGGTGGCAGTAACTTCTTCACTCCACTCGTAGGATGAACCCCTTTTATTCCCAGCATGGTAAAAACTGGGCAGTCTTAACTTCAACATCAGTTGTCCCTCTACGTGTTTACAACCTCCTCCTCTGTTCCTGGGACAGTTTACGAGAGGAAATAGGCTCAACCAAGAGTGGACTGTGGGAGGTCCCTACACAGAGAAAAATCAGCTTTTCTGAACTCTGATTGGAGCACTATGGCGTGTGGAAGGGAGAAGGCACATGATCGGATGTTGTGATTGGTGGGTTACTACTACACAGGAGGAAGTGGGTATTAAAGTACCCTAACCTCAGAGCCTGGGGGAGGTAATCTCTGTCTGACAGTAAAAACATCAACAGCACTTTGACGTAAACAATAAACCCACAGCGACATTTTAAGTAGTGTACATGGAGCCAGAGCACATGGTAACGACCTCCTATTGACAAAAAACACAATCCACTGTCAAGCACATGGCTGGTTTCTATATGTGTCACTTTATTTCCCCACTTTCAAGTAGAAAAATGTGTACAATATGAACTCAATAGCAATAATGGCCAAGTAATGGACCCCCAACCACACGGTAGTATGATAAAGTCTCAGGTTTAATGACATGCTGCTGAAGGTTGGAAGATGTTGGAGAACTTTTGAAACCTAATGTCAATTCTGGTGGAAGCCATGATACTGGCCCTAGACTTCATAACCTAAAATGAATCAAATAATCTACCTAGGATAAAATGCCCAAAAATGTTATACAAAAAACAGACACACTTACATTAATGAATTGGAGGAATAACTGTCTCTGTCAAATGCAAATCCTTAAAAAAAAATTACAACTTCTGCAAACAGATAGTTATGCCCATTCATCAAATACTAAGAGACAAACCCTGAAACCACTGAGCCAAAAGCCATTTGTTCACAAGAGGCAGATCTGTGCTGGTTGAGAAAAAAAAAGAAGACAATGGGCCAAGGGAACCATGGGAACTTTTCTGCCAGTCTGCTGGTGGATCCCTTTTGCCACCAGGGCCACAGTCCCAACAATATAGCTGTGGCCACAAAGCAACCTCAGACAGAAAGACAAGCCAAAAGTCTGGAAACAAATGAAGACAGACATTCACACAGTAAAGATGCAAAGACAGCAGCTGGTTCTCACCGGATTTGACCTTAGATGGCTATTTCTACACTGTTAGGTCCACATTTCCTTAAAGGGTCAGCCCGGTTTGTCAGTGTCACATACATATAAGTGTCATAAGGGGAAACGGCGACTAAAGAAAGAGCTGCTGGCGGAGAAAAAAAACATGATTGGTAGCCAAAAGGAAGCATGTTGTTGTGTGTGTGTGTATTCATGCTTGACAACTGGTAGCCTATCTAAATATATGTGCATCCAGGCCCAGAACGCTGCTCATTGTGTAATGTGTCGCTGAACTCACATGGCCTCTGCATGGGAAGGAGGGGCAACCCAGAACTGATTTAGGTATATGTGGTCAGCGAGAGAAAGAAGGCATGGAGGAAACACAGCGGGAAAGACGCAGGCACAGGAAGAGGAAAAAAAAAATAAGCGTGATGCAGAGCTGACACACAGCATCACAATACACTTCAGACTGTCAATGTAATGCAGCTTTCCTTCTGTGAAGTGACCTGTATTCTCCCCCCCACACACACACACACGTCCTTCTATCTTTTCTCCCCCTCTTCTATCCGCTCGAGTGTGAGACAAAAATGCAGCAAGACATCAGGTGTTGCCATGGCAACTGAGGACAGCACAAATGCGGATAACATAAACCGCTGCCATATCTAACAAAAAATACATAATAGATGGAAGCAAACACAAGTACGTTCTAGATCAGCTACCGTACCCTCTAGAAAACCAGACCAGCCCTGACTTGAATAGAAGAGGTGAGGATACCAGTCAAAAGGATGGTCGTTGCCATGGTTACAAAGCAGAAAAATTGGCTGGTATTGCAATAGTTCTGTAACCATGTTTCATTAGAAAAGATTTGCAGTCTTCTTACACTATTTTACTCTGTTAAATGATGTTGACCAATGGGTGATACATGAGTGTTTCTGCTATTAACCCCAGGTTCAGCACCCCCCCCCCCCCCCCCAAAGTCAAAAAGAAAGGCTGAAACATGCCAGATTCTTTATTACCTTTGTGCCTCAGCCGGTCGTAAGCTTGTCTGTGCCAAGTGTCAGTTATCACAAATAAAGATTTCTCTCAACACAAAAAACAGATTTTTTTTCCTCCTACAAATCCTATGGAAGGATGAAGTTTCCATGTTTCAAACGTGTGAGCAATAATTCTCAAGACAACTCCAGACTTTTGCATTATAAAAGATCAGAGTCAAATACGACTCCTATGGAAAGTGATTCCAGCATTCACCAATGATATGGGAATTCCTGTCAGGTATAAATTTCTTTCAATCAAGACAGGCCATTGTGATGTCGAAATCAAGGAAAACTGGTAGTGTTCAGTTTTGATGAGACTAATTAACTGTTTTCCTCACTAGCTATAAACCTGCACAGTCACACACTGCAGGTTCCAGAAGAGTTTGCACACTCTCTTCTTCTACCTTCTAACTTCCGTCAACTCACAGGTGTTCAAACGTAATGATTTTTCCAGAAAAAAACAACTCATAGTTTGATTGTGTGCGTAGAGCACAATGCTGATTATGTAATGTGCAAATGTTACATTTTACCTCGAGAAAAATGACAAGCCTTGATAAATTTTTTTAAAAAAGAACACTCAGTGCAACGTCATGTAGGGATAAATTAGCTGGTCAGCTAACACATTGCAATCCTTGGCAGTCGACATGTACTCTATCAGAAAGTCAGAATTTTCATGTATTTTTAACTCCATGACCCCAAGGTCTAGCTGAGGGAACACTGATGTTATTTTGTTGCTTCTGCGACTATGGAAAGCTCCCCTCAGTAAAAACCATGACCCAAGTAAGTCACTCTCTCCAGTAAGTAAGCTGGTCTTTAAGATCACTCCCTGCATATCTAGGCCGATTCATTCCATGCACCATTTGCCAAACTTTCAGAATTAAAAAAAAATAAGCGACATGTTTCCCTCGTATGACAGCCATAGGGAAAATCTGTACATCCACACACAGACTGAAGGATTAGCTGAATGCACTCCCATAAGCTTAAATGGACAAAATGATCCACATTACTTACAAGTTATTTGGTTCTGTTTTGGGCACCAAATTATCATCGGCTTTGATGGAAAACTACTTTGGCAAAAAAAAAATATGTCAACCAGGTCATTCTCTTTAGTGTCGGTTAGTTTTCAAAGTGCTGTGCGGGAAAGACTTAGGTCTACTCACTGTGCACTATTTGCAAATTCTCTTATTCAAGGGGGGAAATCAGATATTTGGTGACTTTGGAACACTTGTTGAGCAAGAATGTGAAGCAGGGTGGCCCAAAGCTCTCCTAGTGCAGTGAACAAGCCTTGATCAATAGCTCATATAGAAAAAGATATTGGTTATAGTTTATGTCTGATAGTGGTTACGTGTATGGGGCCTAAATCAAAGAGTCATGCAGATGTGTAGCCTATGCATCATGGGAACATAAAGGCTACAGAGGCCCAGGCTCACTTCACGAGCTGTAGGCTACACCGGAACTCTCGGTTTTAATAATTCGTGATTCCATCTTCTTGACGCCTGGGCAGAAAGAGGGATTGTGCAAGTTCACTTGGCAGGCAATCCGCAGGCCGACATCTGGAGAGCATTACGTCTGGAGGAGACGTGAAGCCAGGCTCGGTGCACGGTTTGCCCCCTTAGATATCAAACTACGTGTCATTCACGGTGTTTGTTCCTCTGTCTTTTAACAGGTCACAGGAGGCAGGTTACGGACCTTAACCTGCTTTTTTTTTTTTTTTTTTTAACGATTTCACACAGGAGATTTCATTGTGGCGTGACAAAATGAAGAAAAAACATAAGTGACAACAGGAGGAAAGGGCCTGCACATACACTCATTACGTTAGCGTGATTATGAGAAAAAAAAAGGCCTGTGGCCCAAATTAGCTGTTTTACACAACTTGAATAATGCGTGCCTTTGACATAAAGAACATGTCCAGTGATTGACTGACACAAGAATTCAGTGGAGGTAACAAATTGTTGCACTGGGCTGGCGTACCGTGAAGAGGTGCATTTAAACGTATCACCACAAAGGGAATCATTTGGAAACAGCTGTGAGCTGGTTTTGCGTTGGTTTCTCACATTTAACAGACGGCTAATAACATCCGAAGGTGCTAACACAATATCTGCAAGTCTCTCCAGGCTCCAGCTCTGCACAGCACGGCTGGTTTCACCAACAGTTACCACGTCTGAACCCTTTATTTACTGCTGCCATGTCGACAATGAAGGCTCACATCCGCCCGTCTCTTACCTGCAGTCGCTCCGACGCGGGTTGCCACATGTTAGCAGGCTCGAAGGTTTTCTGTCTTGACTGCTGCTTGTTGTCTATTCGTAGTCCAGTTCACATCTGTTCGTTTCCACGGCTTGCCTCTCCGTCCTCCTTCAATCTGGACTGGTCGGTAATGAATGGTGTGTTTGCTCCGCCTGCCTGGCTGTAGTTGTTAGAGCCACCAGCAGGTGGAGTTACCTGCTCCCTGCGGCCGGAGGGCTCTTGGTGCTGCGTTCACGGACTTTATGAAAACGGGTTACCACTGAACTGCGTGTCTTGCTTCTAGAAACTCTACAGCTGCAGCTTTTTTTAATAGCATGATGTCTCCATGATCCTGTGGAGTATTGAACTTGTTTTACTTATTTGTATCAGACAGTCTTTTATTTGTATCGTGAAGAGGAGCATGACGCTTGCTGCTTTAGCATCTAAAGACATAACACTTAGGCTAGTGCATGTTCAAGATTCAAGATTTTTATTTGTCACATGCTCATACAGATGTGCAGTGAAATGTGAAGACTGTTCCGCAAGGCCATGCAATAACACTCAAATTGCTAATACACATATATACAGTAAAATGGAAATATAATGTAAAATTTAAAAATAAATATTTGAATATACGAAATACAGAATATAGAATAATGTAAACAGTGTAAAGTGTCAGTGTGTAAAGTGTGTAAAGTGTAATGTATTAAGTAGCCAGGCAAATGCTGTTATTCAAACACCCACAATAGTTGAATCATATTTTCTAATTACAAACTTTGTATTCTCTTTTTTTCAACGTATGTTAACCCTCCACTTATCAGTATTATCATATAAAGACCAAATGACAATAATTTGTAATAGAGATGCTTGAATTAATACATCAGAAAGGGTTGTCACCTGACTCTGCAGTAGAATTTGCGTCAAGGTCAGTAAGCATCTTCTTTAATAGTTTTAGTTTTCTAGCTCAACTATTTCTTATTAAAAGACTAAACATCAGATGAGGGCCACTAGTTGATGGAAACAGACGGATGTGTCTATGTACGGATGTGTACATAATGTGTAAAGGTGTTCTGGGCTGACATTATTGTAGTTGTGGGTTCATAAACATGAATCTAAATAACTGGTGGGATTCTCTGTGTTGGCTTGATTTACAAGGAGGTTTATTTTTGAAACACGTAAGTGAAAGCTGTATAAGTAATGTCAGTGTTTACAGTTTGTTCCTCTGCTCAGAAATGGTTTAAAATGTAATGTTCTCAACTCAACTCTTGCTTTAAGAAAAGGAAAATATTCTAAAATAATGAAGTTACTTAGTCTGTTTTTGTCAAACATCAGTACCCAATTTTTGTATTAATTTCATATTAACATAAAAGTGAATGAGCTTAACATCTGGACACTAAAAGGCATCTGTAATGATATAAAGCACTTTAAAAAATCAAGGTCTTAGTCAAGATTAGTCATCCAGACCAGAGTAGCCAGCCAGCTCGGGAATGCAGTTAAAATGGAAATGATCGTTTAAAAACCAAATATAAATGTCATTGCAATGTGTTATGTGGCTAGAGTAAATGAAAATGTGTTTATGTGTTTCCAAGTTTCACAAAGCCAGCTGAGGACAAATTATCTGGTGAATTGCTCCAGTCGTGCCTAAACATTTGATCTTTTAAGCTTTCCGAAAGCAAGTTGTACCAAAAGCATTCAGTCCATGTGACGGTTTTGGAATACAATTGGTGGGGAAACTGTGAATATTTTTAACTATTGGGTACTAACAGTATCGTTTTCTCTGAAATGTGATACATTTTCTGTACTGTAACCAAACAACAGCTTCTATCTCAGTATGAGAAGCTCATTTTATCAAGGCATTGAATGAGATAGAGAAACTCTGTTATGGATGTTGAGTTTTTGGACTTGTGTAACACCAAAGCTCACCCACTCTGACCCTCCCGGGCCCAGAGAGGACAAAGGTCAGGCACGGGACCTCCAAAGCAGACCATCAGCAAAGGAGAGCAATCAATAACAGCTGGTGCCCCTGCCATATATTGGGAGTAATGTTTGAGTACAAACATAATATTTGTAGGTGTGCTGAGCGACATGGCTTGGCAGTTGCAGTGTGCGTTTAGAGATGTTTACATGAGGAACATCTGGACAAAGCCTGAGGTCACTGAGGGCGTTCACTCTACTTACACTTCATAAAAGGTCTTTCCCACGGCTCACGCGTCTGTCTGGAGGGTGTAGGACCTTGGGACATGGCGGAAAAACTGACTGTACAGAAGTCTTCTATTTTAAACTTGTTTTCATGAGGGTTTTCTTTTTTCAAAACAATGTAACCATTTTTAACCCAAGACTTACTGCGGCATGCTATTGTTTCAAGTTCTAGGAGGGCGGTAAAGGAATATAAGGCATAATTCCTATGAAGGTGACAATTATGTCTCTATGGGTTTTGACGTATGCAAACTTTAAAATGCCATAACAGTTATAGAGAATTTGGGAAAGCTGCAGAAGTATGTCCCTTCCTTTGACTGTTTTTACATTTGTATTATTACTGTAAACTGCAAATTAACGTTTTATTTTATTAGGCTTTGTTTCCATATCATTTAGACAACAAGCATGCTTTGAAGTTGCTTCATACTTGTTGTAACTCCCAAAATAATTAGGTTATTTGTAAAATCACATTTCACCCCATAACAGTTAAGTCTGTATGCATTTTTTCCCCCATTGTTCTTGGTAAAATAGCATCGGCTCAATCAGATTGGATGGAGTAAGTTCATGAGCAGCAAGTTAAAACTCATGCCACAGATTCTTAAATGGATTGAGGTCTGTGCTTTGACTGGGCATTATGAAGTATTAACATTCTTTGACTTAAGCCACTCATGAGGAGGTCGTCATACTTAGAGTTATTGTGCTGCTGGAAGTTAAACATCTACTTGAGTATCAAGATTCTTGATGATTCAAGAGTTGCCCTTTTTTAGCTCCATCTATGTTGTCCATAATCCTTGAGGCTTGCCGCTTAGGGTACCCGTGATTGTGCTCGTGCATGAGAAACTGTACCGTGCTGAAGCTCACCTTTTCCACCCGTGCCAGGGCTAAAGAAGTGGACCATGCTTCAGCACAGTATGGAGCACTCACACTAGTCAAATTAAGTTTGCTTCAGCTATAATCATTTGCTGCTGGGATGTTGTTACCGATGTGTTGTGCTCAGGCTAATATCCAGAGTTCGGTTTCCTTCCACACATAATTGTTTGCACAAGTTAAAAACTAAATTTGAGTCCTAAAAAGTTAAATATTCATCTCATCTGACAAGAGTCATTTTTTCTCCTACATTGCTTATGGCAAACTTTAAAATCAATCTCTTAGACACTTTTCCACGAAGGCCTGATTTGTGAAGTTTGTTTGTGGCCAGATTCTCCCACCTGAGCTTTTGATCATTCCGTCCATTACAAAGTCATCATTAGCATCTGTTGCTTTTCTGACTAACACTCTCCTTGCTGGGTCTGTCAGCTTGGAACGGAGGGCAGTCAAGTTTATCAACGGCCTTTTGAAGGACACCTGAGTCTTCATGTTGCTGGGGGATTAGTACTTTTTTTTAACAGTCTCTGAGGCCTTTAGTGAGCAGGTGTTTTTATATAAACGTTAAATTGAACACAGACAGACTCTATTTAATAAATCACGGGACCTCTGAGGCTAATTTGTTGCACCTGATCCTAGCTATGGGTTTCACACGTAGAGACTGTAAATATTAAGCCTGAATGACATCATCCATCTGTTACTGCAGGGGGCTTTGGAGTCCCATCGATGGCTGTTGCTATGCTGGAAATGCTGTCTCAACATAACTTTCAGTTGACACTAATGACAGCCAAAGAGCTGGAGCTGAGCTCTAAGCCTCTTGACATGCTGTTACACCACGCCCGTCTGTCAATCAGGTCAGCTACGCACCATATTGTGAATAATGCTTATCCTTCATCGAATCAAAATGAACGAGTTGTGGAAAAAATTCCCCCCCCTGTACATTGTGTTCCAAGCAAGGCAAGCTAACCAGGCTGTAAACATGTTAATTTCTGCCTTTATTGAATGCAGCCAGCTTCAAGCGGCCACTCGGCAGGATTTTCACAGCAATGGGTGGTGAGTATCTCAGACTCCAACCCTGCTTTTGATTCATTAATAACACAGAAAACCATGCATAAAACCATCATCTCTCCAACATCCATCATGCACTGCAAAATTAAGGGTAATTTTGTGTTGGTCCGTTACATATTTTAGATAATAAATCAATCTATATTTGGTGTTGTTACATTATAAATTGTGGAATAAGGGGGTCTATTTTCTTAAATCATTTTAATTACATATTTCCGAGTCTGTGCACCAATGCAAGAACAAAGATGACTGTACCGGCCATTATGTCTAACTGGGATCCAAATCTGGGAGATCATTTGTTAATGACTGAGGAGGTCAATAGCGTTCCAATTGATGTGTATTTTTTGCAGAAGATAACGATAAAACCGATAAAATTATGGTTTGCAACAATTGCAGCGACTCCTGTGGACAGGGTTTGGGTCATCTTTTGGCAAATGCGAAAGTAATGTTTTATGATGAAAAATCCCATCCTGCTGTCTTTTAACAGTCAAACGTATCCCTTTCTGTATCTCATTGGTAAATGTCAACAAAGACTGTTTTGGCAGAGCTGGAACTCACTCGGTCTAACACTGACCTAGCGACAGTTGATATGAGCCTTAAAATAAGTTACAATATAGAATTTACAAATCTTGGCCCTGATGGTCTCATTTGCAGGTCACAACGAGACATTTGATTCTGTTTCATAACCAGTAAAAAAAAACGCCTCACAGGAGCTTTAAGATTTCAAATCCTCCTTTAAGGTTGCAAGTCATTTGGTAAAATCCATGCAACTGCTTTTCACAGCCTACTAGAATTTGAAAAACAGTAAACAGCTCTGTACATGGATAAACAGTGGCCTGAACTTGATACTTGTGTTTTACCTAGTATGTCTGCGGTGTGGTATCAAACCCAGTAAGTTTTTTTTTTTTTACAATGACTAGCCAAAATCGGAATGTCTGACCAGAAGTCTTTTTTTAATGCAAATGTTTAGACAACCTAAAATCACATGAGGAACAACTCGACGTCTGTGTTGTGTTCACTTCAATCTTTATTGTTTACATCATTC